CCAGGCAACACGAGAGTACATCTCTCGTGTGCACTGTGGTGCAACCCGAGAGTGCACTACTCTCGTGGTCACAGATGCACGAGAGTTGTGCTCTCGGTGCACCACAACCTCTCGTGCTACACAGGTGCTCTCGGTTCGGTTTTGGCAGAACCAAGTGACTATATCAGATGGAAAATGATACCGAAGTTAGGCATAACTTAGCCCGCAAGGCCAGCCCATTTCCGGACGACATTCGTGCCCGCAGGTGCCGGCGCCCGAGCTCGGGCTTGATTTCAAGCCTTTTCGATCTCCTCTAGTTGGATTTTGATTTGCACCCTCTCCCCCCCCCCCCCCCCCCACACACACACACACACACACTTAATATGTCATTTTATGCCATTTTAAGCTAATTTTTCCAACAGACAAGACCCTTCAAACCTTCCAAGTTTGCTCAAATGACAAGACCCTTCAACGTTCTCTAACCACTCACTAGTTGAAGCAAACCCAAGAACCATGGCGAAGGTTTTTTTTTTTTTTTTTTTTTTTTTTTTTTCACTTGCGTTTGTCTTATACAAAAATACATGCGACGACTTGTGTTTCTTGTATTTCATGTAAAAAAAAAAAAGAATTTCAATAAATTTGACAAACTCGTTTGAGAGTTGTACTTTTTACCATAAATATAAGCTCCAAATTTTTTTTTTTTTCTAAATTTGTCTAAGTTTTAAAAGTTGTTTATTTTCTTTTAATTTATATATATTTTTTGACCATTTCAGTCAATTTTCCCAATATTAAGATCTCTTGTCTCCTTTAATTAGGCTTTATACCTTGTCTTTATATCCATTTATTTCTTTAATTAATTGGATTTAGTTAATTTGGATATCCTGAATTAATTAATTTCACTACACTCTTTAAGAAATTTATTAATTAATTGTTGTTGAATTTCCAACTCAAAGTACTCTATCCGACAAAACATTTAAGAGAATATAAATCATAATAATTCAACTGAACATAAATATTAGACCCTTAATAAAATTTATAAACCCTTTTTAAGAAATTTATAAACAATTGAGTCGCATCTAGGCTCTAGCTCCGTAATTTATCTGTCCTCACTAAAATTTTAGGATAATGATAAGTGGAAATTTTCGATAAAGTTTAGGGCATCCCCATTAGGGGGATCTTCCCTCATTTTGGAACAATAAAATTTGGTTGCTTTGTTTTTTAACAAATAGGAAGCTGAAAATGTTGTTGCATTTTTCTCCTGCAAAACAAATAAACTTGTCAGAATTTTTTTTTTTTAAAAAATAAGAACAAATGAAGGGTGAGACGCGCAGGTGCGTCTCACCCTTCTGCTTGGCGGGCGCGTGTAACCGCCAAGGCGTTTCAGAGTGGCTGCCAACTGGCGGCCACTCTGAAATTAATTGTTTTTCTGGCCGTTGCCCATTTTTCCGTCGTTGCCAATGGCAACGGCCATAATTTGTGCCTTTGCCATTGGCAACGACCATAATTTGTGCCGTTGTAATTTGCAACGGCACAACTTGTTATTATTTTTTTTAATTTTTTTTTTAAAATAATTATCATTTTATTTGTTATAAATAACACATCTTTCACAATTTTTAACACTTCTCATCCTACTCTCAATTTCTATATTTCTCTCAATTCATTCAACTCTCTCAATTTGCATACAAAAATGGAAGGAAACAATTCAAATAACCAAAATTCCCACTCTTCTTCTCAATCCAACTCTTCTTCTTCTTCTCAAAATTTTGGTTACACACCAAATCTTCAATTTTTTTCACAAGTCCAAAATTCTCAAATTCCACCCAACTTTCAATTTCCACAATTTGCACCTATGTTCCAAAATTCTCAATTTGCACAAGCTTCACAATTTCCATTCACCTTTCAAAGTAGCCAAAATCCGGGCAACATTCAAAATTTCCAATTTCCCGCAATATGCAATTTTCTCAAGTTGCATCATTTTCTACACAACCCGAGAATGATGTAACGATAATTCCATCACCAACAAGCACGGGAAGTAGTCGTCGGCAACTATAGAGCATTGAAGATGACAAGATGTTGGCACGCGCTTACTACACAATTGGACAAGATTCGGAAACTGGCAATGAGCAAAGTGGTCCAACATTTTGGAAGCGTGTTGAACAATATTACAACGACAATCACCCAAAAGGTGGGCCAAAAAGAAACGTTGAAAGGTTAAAGTCACATTGGACTCTAATTAAGAGATTAACCATGGAGTTTCACCACATTTATTGTAAGTTACAATCAATGCATATTAGTGGTGCTAGCGATGCAGATATTATAGTTCGTGCAACGGAAGAGTACAAGCAAAAGCATAAACGAGACAAGTTTGGTTATGAACACGTATGGGGTATTTGCAAAGACCTTCCAAGTTGGCAACCATCGGTTATTGCTACTTAACACTGTAGGAACCGATCATCCAATAATCAAACATCAAGCGAGAGTGCAACAAACAGTGAAAGTGGTAGTGAAGAAGTTTTTCCTCGACCAATGGGGAAAAAAGCAGCGAAGCGAAAGGCTAAAGAACGCTACATGGGGGAGTCTTGATTGCATGCATTGGGAGTGGCGAAATTGTCCGGTAGCATGGAAAGGTCAATTTACACAAGGTGATCATGGAGTTCCAACCATTATGCTAGAAGCGGTCGCATCAACAGACTTATGGATATGGCATGCATTCTTCGGCGTCGCAGGTGCTATGAATGATATCAATGTATTAAATCAATCCCCTTTATTCAATGATGTCTTGCAGGGATTTTCACCAGAGGTTAATTTTATCGCGAACGGTACAGAGTACAAAAAAGGTTACTATCTAACAGACGGTATCTACCCACAATGGTCGATGTTCGTGAAGAGTTTTCCATGTCCAGCAGATCCCAAAAGAGTATTGTTTTCACAAAAACAAGAGGCAGCAAGAAAAGATGTCGAGCGGGCTTTTGGGGTGTTACAAGCTCGATGGGCAATGGTTAGAGGTCCTGGACGATTTTGGTATCGGGAAAATTTGAGAGAAATAATGTATACTTGCATTATTTTACACAACATGATTGTTGAGGATGAAGGTGACAACGTAAGTAGTTGGGTGGACGACGAAAATGTAGGAACGGCACAAACATCACAAGGCTCAATCGAAGAGTTTCAACGATATTTGCAAAGAAATTACGAGTTACGTGACTCGCAATTGCATCATCAACTTTGTGCGAATTTGGTTGAGCATATATGGAACAATAACGGCAATTAATTTAATCGCTTTGTATTTCTATTTTTTATGCGTTTGAATTTATTTTTAACCGCTTTGTAGTTTAATTTTTAAGCAATTAGTTGTTTAATTTTCATTTTATAAATATCGTATTAATTAATTAGGCTTACTATGTTTATTTTAATTATAAGTTTGGAAATAAAAGCTTGCAATTTTTACGTATTATTTTTACATATCATTTATCTTTACCTCTAAAATTATAAATTTTTAAATTAAATAATAAAGAAATAATTAAAATATGGAGATAAAATGATAGGTCCATAAAAAGTTGTGAAAAAACTTAAAATTAATGGGAAGAAGATATTTTGTGATTGAGTGAGATAGTGAATGATGAGGTGGATGTTGGGATCCACAAAAATTAGGGATAAAATTCCCAACTATTGAGAATGCCTTTAGAGATGACTATCGCCTATCGGAATAGAAATCGTGCCATGTATATGACTGACGTATCCGGCATTAGCTGTTTGATTTGGGTCCCACTACTGTCCCTAAAAAAGACTATGAAATGAAGCTTCCCACCTGCCCCGTAATTGGAATGTGAAAATGAATCTTCCCTTTATTACGTCAATATACATAGCCACCAAATCATTGATGATATGCACACTATTATAACCTCTTAACACTTCCCTTATCAAACTTTAATATATTTGATTTACGAGAAAATGATGATCGGAGCGGAGCTAAAAAAATTTATTAGTGTGAACGAACAATTAAAATATGAATAAATGTCAAATAAGTCACACAATAATGCAATTAGGTCACTGAACCTAAAAGACTTACAATTAGGTTCCTAAACTAATTAAATTTATACAATTCCTTTAATGTGCAGGTTTCCAACCAGTCATCCCAAATTAAATTATTTTTTAAAAAATAAATTTTTAAAAATAATTATTTCATTTTTAAGTTTAGTGATCTAATTGTATTATGCAGTTGAATGACCTATTTGACCCTTATTCCTAAAATATATAGTAGTTGCGCCATTTCTCTTATCACTAAAAAGAAAAGTTGAATAGAGCATATACATTTTATATTATATAGTTTCTTTACTTTTTCCTCTATGGTGTAAATTTACATACAAAGTGAAAATTACATAAAATGTGATAACCGAACCAACAAACTTCCAAAAGTGCACAAATTGTACTTGAGTGGAGGATTAAATAAAGCAAAAATGTGTTTTCAAAAGAAAAAATAATAAAGCAAAAATGTCAATTTTATTTCTAAATTATACTAAAAATAAGTTTATGTTAGTGATTTACTTTATAGGGTGTACGATACTTTACTATACAATTTTGTGGACCATAGTCCAAAAATAAAGTCGTTTTGTTTAGTTTTTTTTACGCGATACACTGCAACATATATTTTTTAACTCATAATGTATATTATTCTAAAGCATAATGTACATTATTCTAACTCATAAAGTACATTATCTTATTACATAAGTTTCATTATTTTTAACACATAAAGTACATTATTCTAACATATAATGTAACATTATTTTAACACATAAAATACATTATTCTAATTTATAATGTACATTATTCTAACTCATAAAATTCAACGATATTGTTTTGGATCGTGACCCAGACAATAATTTGTCTCTAAGCTGAGGAAATATATGATGTGACCACAAAAAAAGTTTGAGGAATAACATCCTCATTTTATTATTATTATTATTATTATATTATTATTCGATTCGATTTGATTTTTAAAGTGGCGAATCAGGTCCCTTATATGAAACGGAGTAAATGACAAACAAATAACTTGCGCCTCTTTTTCTTTTGATACACCAATATTTTGTGCTATTATTCTCATTTCTCAGCCTTTATAAAACCGTTCCTCGCGGCGGCTCTGAGGCCAGCCGGCGCACGCTACCTAGCCGACGCACGCTACCTAGCCGACGCGCGCTACCTAGCCGACGCGCTTCTTTTTAAACAATGCGTAGGGAGATAACCTACGCGTCTCCTAGCGCCCGCGACCTCAGCGCCGGAGCTGCTGCTACCGCCGCCGACTCGGCTCCTCTTTCGTCCCTTTCCTCCGCCGCCATGCGGACTTCCCGCCCCGTCAAGGTCATACCGCTGCAGCATCCGACGGATGCGGCGTCGCCCTCGCCGTCGGTTGCGGGCTCAGCCGTGTCGCGGTGGAGTGAGAAAGTCAAGCGGATGACGTCGACGGAGTGGATTGAGCTCTGCTTGCCTTGCTATCGTTGGATTCGAACGTATAATTGGCGACAGGACTTGCAAGCTGATCTCATGGCTGGTATCACCGTGGGGATCATGCTCGTCCCTCAGGTCTCTCTCCCTCCTCTCTTTCTCTCTACAGATGTTTGGCTCTGGAAATGTTTCATACTTTCAGTTGCGCATAGTTTAACATGTATTTAAACTGAGTATTTGAGATTTTTTTTATATTGATATGTGATATCTGACGGCGAGAATGTAACCAATGGATGGATTTTGCTGATATATCGAATTGATAGTTCACTTTGTCAGTTTGTCTTTATCGCTCAAATTTCATTAAAAAAAAAAAAAAGGCAACATAGAAAATAAGCATAGGAGTTTATTGGCTGATATTAAAGCAAGTTTCTGTGTTTCGATTAATGGATGAATTTAACCACTGTTTGTGAGTACTGGTACTGCTTCTTACTGACAGGTTACTGTTAAAATCACTTAAGAAAATGATGATTGGATAAGTTGGTGTTTTATTCCTTCTCAAGGCTTTACACTAAGAGTGCTATCCTATAATGCTTGGCCATTTGTAAATTGTGTTTTTTTTACCCTCTTATTAAAAAAAAACATTCTCTGGCATTCTATTTCATAATAATGTGATTTTAAAGTGCTCCATATCATTTGGATTGTTTATCAATCAATCACCTGTGGCTCAATTTGAGATCAATTTCTAATCATGCGGTTATCTGAACAGTCAATGTCATATGCAAAGCTTGCTGGGCTTCAACCAATATATGGTCTTTGTAAGTATGCTACCTAATTTTAGTTTGATTGCTATTTCAAATTGAGCGAAATTTTTTTCAGTAGGTATTTTAACATGAATGTTCTGAAAATTTCTGTTGACAGTGTGTTGATTCTTTCTGAGTGTGTATGGTTTTAAGTTGTGCTACTACATTTGAAAACTACAATAGGATAAAGAAGAGTTTTCACTTGATTCTTTTTGAGTTTCCTCTGTCTTTACTCTACCTTTAGTTGTGAAGAAACAAATTGTAGTTGGACTAAGCAATTGCATTGACTATTCAAGTTTATAATGGTAAAGGGGTATTGGCTAAGTGCTATATAATTGTTTTACAGGCCAACTTAATTTGGTGCCTGAATTGATATCCCATTCTTCAATCTGCTCTTATATTAGTCTTCATAACTGTGGTTTTTGTTTCTGGATTTTGCATGTCAGATTCTGGTTTTATCCCAATATTTGTTTATGCAATTTTTGGGTCATCTCGCCAACTTGCAATCGGTCCAGTTGCATTAACATCACTGCTGGTCTCAAATGTCTTGAGTAGTGTAGTAGACCCATCAGATGAGTTATACACGGAGCTTGCTATACTCTTAGCCCTTCTGGTCGGCATTTTAGAATGCATAATGGGGCTTTTAAGGTATTCTGGTTAAAGCTTGTTTCTTTTCTATACAGTTTGTGTTTGCTGACAAATGAGCAGATATCAAGCTGGCACTTTTACTTCCAAATATTTAAATTCTTTAAACTCCTAGGCAGTAGGTTTTACTTATAGTTGTGGTTGTTTGGCATTCTAGGGGACTATTTGATGTCCTCTAGGTGTTAGGGTGTGCAACCTTGTTTGGTTTTGTGGGAAATAATGATTGAAATAAGTAACAGCAGATTCTATTATTCTCAATCCAATTTATCAATTACCCCATTTTGCTTGAGTGGACTTACCCAGGCCATACTTCATAGGGTCAAGTAAAAGGTGCAGCATGCAAAGTGCAGCTACTTTGTGAATGTTGAACATCTCCTTAAAAAGTTATAAGTTGATAATTTGTTGCTTATCCAATGTGTACTGTGCAATAAGTATTTTCTCACAATGGAGATTTGATATACATGTTTTTTCAGCTGTTCAAAATTTCCTTAGCCCACTTTAGTAGATTGCTTGTATAACTGTATTCCTTTTAAACTTTTGCTGATATGTCTTATTTAATTTCTTTCCCTATTTAGGCTTGGGTGGCTCATTCGTTTCGTCAGTCACTCTGTGATTTCTGGTTTTACTACGGCCTCTGCTGTTGTTATTGGTTTGTCCCAAGTAAAATATTTCCTAGGCTATGATATAGAACGAAGCAGCAAAATTATTCCACTTATCAAGAGTATTATATCTGGAGCAGATAAGGTATGCGTAATTGCCAAAACACTTAATTTTTAGGACAGAGTTCATTTACTTTATATCTTATGAAACTAATCCTGGTTGATCTTAGGCTGAAATATACAAAAAATTTCTTTTCTGGCCTAGACACCTAGTCCTAACATCAACTATATGCTGTCCAATGATCAATTAGGTTAAATTTTCCATATTGTGTTTTCTTGTATCTTTTTACTATTAACTCAAGTCATTTCATTAAGGCACCAAATAACTGTGTATTTTCATTATTGTGTGGTACTTGTCTAGAATGACAATTTTGCAGAGCTTTAACATACTGTGTTAGTCATTGGACTGTTCACTTTTGTCCCCAGGGCCCAAAAGAAATTGTTTTTGGACTAAGAACTCAAATCTATAAGTCCAGTCAGCCTTTTGTTTTGTTTTTTTTTTTTTGGTTGTTTTGCTCTTTTTTTTTTTTCACAGTAAGAGAAAATCTAAAATTTTTAGCTTCTTATTGGCTTAATTATTGTGAAGTAATAAATAAACTGAGGAATGTATTTGATAGATTCAAATAATCTGTACATCAGTATATATACAAGTAAGGAACCTATTATCAATAGGTATGACCTAAACTAAAAGACATAACTCTTCTAATGTATTTCAACAATTATCTATAGTGATGCCTCCTAAACCTAAGGTTAGTAGTTTAATTCCTCCTCAAAAGCCAAAAAAGTGTTTTTATTGAACACACTAGTCCTGCCAATATGTGAACTGGTGTGGCCTATGATATTGTTCATACATCAAGGTTAATTGGTTCTTAATTTACTGCTAGAAGAATTGTGTTTATTTATGTGCTAACTGTATTTTCTTTCTGTAGTTTTCTTGGCCACCTTTTGTAATGGGCTCAATCATGCTAGCTATTCTTCTTACAATGAAGCACTTGGTATGACTTTATTGACCTTTTCTTTTGATTCATTTTTTATTTTTTATTTTTGTATTTTATATTTATAATTTATGCAGACTGCTAATGTTTCACATACTTTAATTGGTCTTCCTCTTCAGGGAAAGTCAAGGAAGTGCTTGAGGTTTCTACGAGCAGCTGGTCCTCTTACAGCTGTTGTTCTGGGTACAGTCTTTGTCAAAATGTTTCATCCAACTTCAATTTCATTGGTAAGAAAATAATTCAAATATATAAATACAAGCCTTTACTTATACCAACCAAAAAAAGAAAGAAAAACGAAAAACATAATTAACTCAAACCTGTATAGGATCTCAACAATAGCCTAGTGAATATTAAAAATAATCTTTTGCAGCATGATCTTGAGCTTCTCTTATATTTGCCATGTTTCTTTGTATGCACCGTGATTGACTGCGGATTCATTGACAAAAGTTAGAAGCTTCCCTTTTTTTTGGTGTTCCAATGTCAAAAGGTGGATAGGTAATTGATAGATTAGGAAAAGAGATGAAGAGACATGGAAGGATTAAAACAACTAACAAAATGTATCTTCACTTGCTAGAGTGATATGAACCTAGTCTAAGGTTCAAATAAGATGGAATATTGTCCCAAGAATGCTCTCAAAAGTAAGGATAGAGATGGATCAAAGTACCTTAGACCTCACGAGAAACCCTTAGTCCCGAATTGTCAAAGACTTAGAAGAATCCCATTGTAGCTTCAAGTACCTCGATGTTGCAATCTTCAATCAACTAGAGTCGGATCTAGTTTCCTTCGATTCAAGAACGAGTCCACGAACCTAAATCTAAGGTTGAAGAAAGGAAGATTGATTCGAGTCCACGAATCAATTTGCTAGTCGAGTCCATGACTAGCCACTAATTGAGTCCACAATTAGCCATAAGGTTTCTTACACAAGTGTAAAGAAAAACTTAACAATTTTATTGAATGAAAGCCTCCTTAAAACTGATATGGATGTGCCCTACCTATATAGGTATACAATGGGAAAAAGAGTCATAAACCTAATCTCGAAAGCAAGTAAATATAGTCCTATTTAGAAAGGGATTTAAGAATTCCTTTCTAAATACAAGCTAATGTTTTCTCTTTAATGCCAAACAATTTAAAATAATGATGACAAAAAATAATAAGGCTGATTTGGGCCAAATTTAATCTCCAAAATCAGCACTTAAACAATTATAAAAAGCCTTGAGTTCTTCTCAATTTTTTGCAAATGGGCTTGACTTGGATTTCCACCATCTTTGAACATCACCAATGAAGAGTTGCCTTAATTGTTTGGACTTGGGCCTTGTGTTTGGCCCAATTGGTAGTCTTAATGGATCTTCATTATGTTGGGTCGCATCATCCTCCCCTTCTTGAAAATGATTCGACCTCGAATATTGTAAGCATTGTCTTCAATCCATGATATCACTTGAAATGGGCCACTATAATACTTTCCTCTATCGAATGGAATTATTATTGGGCTTTCTTGTTTCTTCCACTAATGATGCTTTAAGGATGTAGTTATGGGCCTTGTGATGAGCCCATTATAGACCCTTATTAGATTCCATGTGTACTAGTTCCTATTATAGAGCATGGTTGATTACATGTCAACTGACATTATTTGAGAACTTGTATTGACATTTAAATGTTTTTCTTCATGACTTCCCATTTCATTTAATACTCTGATTATTATTATTATTTTTAATTTTTAATTTTAAATCAGTTATTATCCCTCACTGTGGGGCTTAAAATATTTTGCGCGTTGTTTTAGGTAGGAGAGATACCACAGGGGCTGCCAAAATTCTCTGTTCCTAAGGAATTTGATCATATACAGTTTTTGATTCCAACAACAATTCTTATTACTGGTGTGGCTATCTTGGTAAGCGAGCTCTGAGTATGCACTTGTATGTATTTATGCTCTCCTACAGTCCTCTTGTAGCAAACTCTATTAACTATACAATTTTTGAATGTGTAGGAGTCCGTGGGCATTGCCAAAGCTCTGGCTGCAAAGAATGGATATGAGTTGGATTCAAGTCAAGAGGTAGTGCTTTCTAGGAAGCAAAGTTTCCTTGCTTATTTTTTCAAACTATTATTATTATATATATAAACTCTTGAGTTAAGCTTAAATATTTAAACCTTCCCTTTTCTTTCATTATTTTCATAACCTTTAACCATGTTTAATGTAAAGCATTGTAGGACATGCCATTGCCTTTAGATAATTAACCTTAAACTTGCTTTTCTATCAAAAAGAATTAGTGTCTCATTCTACTGAACCTCCTCTGCCCAACATACATTCTTCTCAAGTTCAATATCTAACAAATACAACTATAAAAGAAATTTCAGATTTAGATGGCTTCCTTAATCCTTACTTTTCTTGTTTTAATTCTTCACCAAATGTTTAAAGAACATTTTATGTGAATGTTTAAAGAACACTTTATGTCATTGTTTATTTTTTACTTCCAGTTATTTGGTCTTGGTGTTGCCAACATTTGTGGTTCATTCTTCTCATCATACCCTACAACAGGTGAGACTTCACTTTTGTAGAATTCCCATAATTCTTCAGAATTTGTATTACAACTAATTGCACTTATTAAAATGACAAAGAATTAGTATGATGCCTGAGATTCTAGTTTCTGTTTGTATTGGATGACTCACTATTTGATTCCTGAAGGAGGCTTCTTTTTCTTAATGTTTTTGTAAGGCTCTTTTTCTAGGTCTGCTGTGAATCATGAAAGTGGAGCAAGAACAGGCTTAACTGGGATTGTGATGGGAATTATCATGTGCTGTGCTCTTATATTTTTGACTCCATTATTTGAATGCATACCTCAGGTTGCGGTTTTGTGTCTATTTATTTACGGAAATTTCAGTTTCACCATTGAAATCTACTCATGCATTTCATTACTCTCTGTTTATGATCTCCCAGTGTAATGTGTTTAGAGCAATCTTGGACCATGTGTATACTGTTTCATATTTCGCTGTCGGCTTCTACAATCATATTTCAACACTTTGCCAATTCTTTTCCAGAATTTTCATATACTTGAAATGACCAATTGCTAATCATTGTTCTTTCTATTATCTCTATTTTGCAGTGTTCTCTGGCTGCTATAGTGATATCTGCTGTAATTGGGCTGGTAGGTATAGCTTACTGTCAGATCAAGAGTTCTTTTTTTATGTACACTGTAATCATTGTTGTGGTACTAATGTTTCTTTTTATGGAGTAGTTTTTATTCTTCTTTTACCATTCTAAAGTTGCTTGCAATAATAGTTGTATATATCTTATGATACAACGCGGTCTTTGTATCCTCTACTTGTGCTCTCATTTAATCAAATGCATAGTTATCACGGCGTCGCTCCGGCGTCCCAAGCGACACCATGGACGCCGTCCCGGCGTCCAACCCGTAAACCCGACCTTTTTTTTTTAAAAAAAAAATATAAAAAAAAATGGTATGACCTAAAACCCTAATAAGAATAGAGAAGAGAGAAGAAACATTTTGTGCGTCGACTTCCCTCGAGCTCACAGAGAAGAAGAAACCCGTCGCCCTCCCACCGCCATCGCCATCCCACCGCCGTCAGTCTTTGTCTTCTTTCTTCATTTCTCGTCTTCTTTCTTTCTGCCGGCTGAGAGTTTCTTTTCTCTTTGGTTTTGGTTTATAAACCAAAGACACGTGTTTATTTTGGTTTATAAACACTTGTTTAATGGGTGGGGAGTGGGCAGAGGCAGTGCCTCACTGCCTGCCACTTGTTTATTTTATTTTTTTAGACTTTATTAGAATGTTTAGACTTTATATATATATATATATATATATATATATACATATATATATATATATATATATATATATATATATATTGTAGTTTTTAACTTGTCGCCTAGGCGACGAGGCGGTCGGGGGGCGCCGTGACTTAACAGAATTCCGTGATAACTATGATCAAATGAAGTAGGAGTGATGATTTAGTCATGATGTGATCATCATAAACAATTTGTTAATAGAATATGATAAGTGTCGGTCATATTGTTTTTCAGAACCTTTTTTTTCACATGTGTGGATGTTTTTCTTGGCAGCCATCAACTGTTGAGCAAAGTTGCGTACTTTAATTAGACACTTTGAATTGAAGGTATAATTATGCAGTGTCAATGAATGATCTTGTGATATGTATTTCTTCAATTAGACACTTTCTATTTAATTTTTCTCTCCATCACTGATGGTTTTCTAATTTTAAAATTTCTTTCATATATTTCTCAATTTGTAAGTGAAATTTCTCTTTTGTGGTGCATCCAAATTTGATTTGATGTATCAGGCACTGACTCCTTTAGATTCAATTAAGATAGTGTTTCTATTGTTTGTCTTTATTCTTTGCATGTGACTTTTGATGGTGATAAGGTTATCTCGTGCTCTTTACCCTTTCATCAGCTCATAATATGTTATCCAACTTTACATTGTGTGATGGTGAAATTGCAATTTCTCATTCTGGCAATAATTTGCAACTCCAGGTAGATTATGATGAAGCTATTTTTTTATGGCGTGTTGACAAGAAAGATTTTCTCCTGTGGGCAATTACTTGCATTACAACTTTGTTCCTTGGTATAGAGATTGGCGTCCTTATTGGGGTTAGTGTATACATTATTTTGTGTTTTTTAAAGCTTAATTAGATTGTTGAGATTATAGATTATCTATTTGTCATGCTTGGAAAAAAATATGAATTATGGATTGCACACACTTTTAGCTCATTTAGACCAATAATCCATAAGTTGGAGTTGATTATTCACAATCCATAGTCATAAACTTTATTAAACAGGTGCATGATTTTATCTTGGTTATCCATGAATTTTTTAATCAAAACGATGAAAATTGGGTATCCATGGTATTAAGTTGATCTTAGATTGAATATTTTCTCATTTAACAATTGTACATTTGTACTTGTCATAGCTATACTAGAAACAAAAGGCTGCCTTCTATCAACCATCTTTTTTAGTTTTGTTGCCTGTGGACACTAAATATAAACTGTGGTAGTTGACTGCATAAAATGCCTACTATTAGTCCCCAAACATTATACACCTTGGCTCTCTTTTTGAATTTCACTGGTAGTCTTATGTACACTCTCCAAACCTTATATCGGAAAATATATTTGATAATGATGATAAACAGGACCTTTTTACCTACTCTCTTAGTTGTGAATAAAGTTTACTTTGATTGGTGCAGGTTGGTGTTTCACTTGCTTTTGTGATCCACGAGTCGGCAAATCCGCATATAGGTGAGCCCACCTACTGAAGTACTGGCATGGGAGACACTGAAAAAGCTTGTTCAACATTTTGATTTTCACCATCTAAACAAATCTCAAAATTGACTTTTACACTCATCTTAATTCCTAAGTTATTCGATTGTCCAATATGATGCCTTTTAGGAAGTTTTACCTCTCCATTCTCTGCTTCTTTGCGTAGCTTCCTTATACCAACAGAAGCAGATATTCTGATCTTAGTCTTCTGGATTTCCTCTACTTGTTCAAAATTTCTATCTATCAACCCAGCAGCTTGGGGCAGTTGGCAAGCTGACTTTTAATTCAATTGTAAGGTTGGAGGTTCAACTCTTGTATGTGTGCATTATACTCCCGAGCAAGAGTCAAACCGGAATCAAATCCTAATTAGTCTCACAATGATGGAGATACCGGATGTTGTATGCCAAAATAAATTCTATTTATCTTTTGTTGTAGTTTTATGGGTGTTGCTGTGTGAATGGTTTTGGCGTCTAGAGTATCAGCTGCTGCAGGAATGCATAAATTGACCACAACTTGATTGATATAGTTTTATCTTGTAGCTGTCCTGGGGCGTCTTCCTGGAACCACTGTTTACCGAAACATTCAACAATATCCTGAAGCGTATACATACAACGGGATTGTGGTTGTTCGAATTGATGCACCTATTTACTTTGCCAACACAAGTTACATCAAGGACAGGTGAGAACATGTATTAGTTGAATAATCCATATTTTTTGCTATGCCAATTCGAAGGCTAAATTGCTTTGGGTTCATCATCTCTCTAACCATTACTCTGTTGGCAGGTTACGGGAATATGAAATTGCAAAGGGTGGATCCTCAAGTCATGGGCCAGAAGTTTCCAGAGTTCACTTCGTGATTATTGAGATGGCTCGTAAGTTTCTTATTATTTGAATCTTTTCCACTTCATACTGTAATAGAGTTGTAATTGTCTTCCTAATACCCCATTTTAATGCCTTTGCACATTTCAGCTGTTACATATATAGATGCTAGTGCTGTTCAAGCTTTGAAAGACCTCTATCAAGAATACAAGTCAAGGCACATTCAGGTTAGGAATCTAATCCTCTAAAAGATACAACACCAAAATAAATTCAGTATCGTGAATTTCGATCTTTCTTTGTGAACCACATTGCATTGCATTGCAGCTAGCCATTTCCAATCCAAACCAAGAAGTTCTGGTATCTCTAGCAAAAGCGGGTGTGGTTGAGCTAATCGGCAAGGAGTGGTACTTTGTTAGAGTCCACGACGCTGTCCAAGTTTGTCTTCGACATGTACAGAGCTTAAACGAATTTCCCAACACACAAGAAGTATCATCAGACAACAACCCGAATGCAATATTGTTCCAAAGGCTGCTAAAGCAGAGGAAAGACGAATTCTCAACTGCTGATGTTGAGTCGGGCGATGGACGCTTTTTACAGTCCAAGGATGCAGACCCTCAACTGGAGCCTCTGCTGTCAAAGAAGTAAAACCGGTACTCCTCTTCCATGCAGTTTGTACCAGTAAATTGTCTATATTGATGCTGTGTATCCCTGTTTTTATTGATAGGTGAGGTTTACTTAGAATCTGAGGTAATTCATTGTAATGAACGATACTCCGTATGTTCATATGCTCTGCTGTTTGCTTCTTGTGTAATTAATTAATGCAGAGGAATAATGCTCACGAATTCATTAGTGATGGTGTTTTGCTGTAATTTATTTCTTTATTTGGATTAATATGTTTGTGTGTGTGTGTGTGGGGGGGTTCTTGTTTCTCTATTTAAGAGTTGATAAATACTCAATTTAGTCTTTGATTATAGTGATTTTTTCTCAATTTAATCCTAAATGTCTGTGTGCTTAATTAGGTCTTCAACTTTGATACTTTTACCCAATTGAGTTATATATTAAGATTGCTTGTTAATTTTATTTCTATTAATACACAATTTAGTCCTTGATTCTAACAGTTAAGTACTCAATTGTGTAAAAACAACAAAGTCAAGAACGTGATTGAACACAAAAAAATGTTTAGGATTAAATCCAAAAGAACTACTCCGTATTAGGTTGTCCTTACCTCACAATATGGTTTGAAATCCATGTGGCTAGTAAATTTGTTAAAGATAATTTTTGTTGCCAAAATGATAAGTTGTCGCGCCATAAGTTTTTTAAATTTCTTTTATATTATATTTATAATTTATAATAATATAATATGAAAGTGTGATCACTTTTGAAAGTGAGACAATATTACAGAGATGTAAAGAAATTATAAATTTGATGATGTAGAAGTGAAACTCATTTTTAAAAGTGAGAGAAATTGATAGCCTTATGACTATATTAACTCATTTAAAAATGTTTATTTGCACTAATCAATTCTTTTAAGTTAAGTTTTTATTTGTTTTATTTATTTATTTATTTACTTTTTTGTTTTGTTTTGTTTTTTTGTTTTTTTGTTCTTTTGTTTTTTTTTTTGTTTTTTGTTTTTTTGTTTGTTTGTTTTTGTTTTTGTTTTTGTTTTTGTTTTTTGTTTTTTTTTTTTTTTTTTTTTTTTGCGGTATTGTTTTTGAAAGGCATTTGGTTGATGTCATCACCATTACCATCATCATCAAAAGTGTATTTATTGACAATCATTATTGCATGGACCATGGTCCACACAATTGTGTGAACATAAATAAAAAGTATATTTTTAATATATTAAGGGTACATTATTTATGTATGTAAAGTAGATTTTTTGAAAGTACATTTTTAATATATTAGGAGTACATTATTTTATATAATGTACCTTCAGTACAAAAATAATGTACATTCAATACAAAAATAATGTACTTTTAGTATATTAAAAATGTACTTGATATTCATGGTCCACACAATAACTTGCCATTTGTTAATTAATCGATTGTAATTCATTTTATACTCATTAAACATGTATAAAATTTATTTTTATATTTAACACGAATTAAACAAAAAAAAAAACTAAAAAAGTAAATATACTCCGGTATACTACTCTTTTCACAAAGTAGAGTCAGCGTGTCTAATGTCTCCGTCCAATAATACCGCAATTATATCGTCGATCAGATATGGTCCACCTTTCATAATGGATTCTGTTTTAACTTGACATCATTTTATACTTCGTATTAATTCGCAATTAGTGAATCATGTTTAATAATACTATTATGTATTATGTTTACAATATTTATTTTATATGTTCGTAAATTTAAATTTTAATGTACATAAATATTAAACAAAATGTACATCAAATATATTTAATTCAGTCTATCGTAAGGTCGTAACGTTGTTTCGATATGTTTATAAAAACAAAGTTTAATATACATAAACATTACACAACAAATGACACATCATGGTTAATAATATTCATTTTGTACTATGTTTATAATGCTTATTCTATATGATTATAAATCTAGACCTTAATGTACATACACACTAAATTACAGGTATATCGTAGCTATTTTTATTCAATTTGTAGAATATTTATAATATTCCTTCTATATGTTCATAAAATTAAAGCTTATTGTACATAAAATTACATTACATTGAATGATATTTAATAAAATTTCTCTTGTTTGTACTATGTTTATAATATTTGTTTTATGTGATCATAAACCTAAACCTTAATGTACATAAACACTAAACTATAATCGGAAGAAGATCGGGATCTCCTTGAACGGAGCACGAAGAAGCAGAAAGGATCGAGCGGAAGACCCTTAGGACAATCAGCGAGCCCAACGATGGAGAGGACGCTGCATGCGGACGTTGAAATCGTTAATGAGACCCCGGTGGAGGAGATGGTGCAAGCAGATGCCGGAATTGCGCCGGATGGACATGTCCACACAACGCCGTCAGTACAGGCTATCCCACCATCCCGCCGGACGTATGCCCAGAGCGTGTCTGGCCAGATCGTGCCTTCTTTCCAGCGCCCCGGCGATGTGAAGGAGACGGATCCGATGGAATCTTTCGACGAGCAGGATGATGATCCCTTGTGCCCCACCATTCGTCTGACACAGGAGGAACTGGAGGCGATCCGGGCGCCTTGGAGGAAAACTCTGATCATCAAGGTCATGGGCCGGCGCGTTGGATATGCGTATTTGTTGAGAAGGCTCCAGACGATGTGGAGACCAAAGGCGAACATGGATCTTATCGCCATCGATAACGATTACTTTCTTGTCCGATTTGGAGCGGTGGAGGACCTGGAATTCGCGATGTTTGAGGGGCCTTGGATGATCATGGATCATTACCTCATAGTCCAGCCATGGAAGCCAGATTTCGACCCCTTTGCGGACAACACGGAGAAGGTGCTCGTGTGGGCACGGATTGCCTGTTTACCTGCTGAGTACTTTAATATCATCTTCCTTCGGAAATTGGGAAACAAGGTCGGACGATCGATCCGCGTTGATCAGGCCACGAGCCTAGTGTCACGAGGCATGTTTGCCCGAATCTGTGTGGAGGTCGACATAACAAAGCCGCTAATATCCAAGTTCAATTACAAAGGTCAGGTTCGATCTGTGGCATACGAAGGTATCCACATGGTGTGTTTTACATGTGGAATATATGGCCATGCCGCTGAGGCATGCCCAACGCTGCACAAGCCGGAGCAACCCCCTGCGGGAAACCAGGAGGGCGAGCCAGTGGGTGGAAGCACGGCTGCGAACCAAGCTGAACAGAGTCGCCCGGGTGTCCAGGTTGGGACTGCGCCATTCGGAGCGTGGATGATAGCTCCTGGCCGACGACCACGGGGCAAAGCAAAGCTGCCGGATAAAGCCCAGAAGACGTCAACTGGTCGAGAACAAGAGCCCAGAGCAAAGCACGATGGACAGCCCCAGGCATCTCGTTTTGCGCCGCTTGTTTTGCAGGATGACGTTGGCGATCAGAATGAGGCGGACCATGTGGAGGAGGCAGTGGAGGATACTGGTGGGGATGATAGCGTAGTACCTGTGGATGAAGCGGGAAGGACGTCTGTGGGTGAGGGCATGGCAGCGCGCCGTGGGAAACAAGTGCAGGCAACAGGAAAAGACAAGCAGCGTAGGCCTAATGTGATTGCAAGGGAAAAACAAATCGTGAATGCTCCGGTAACACTTCATCGCCAAGCACCTAGTGTGGCAGCGCCATCGGTCAGTGTGCAGAGGAGTAACGGGGGAAGCTCGAGGCGAGCAGCGGAGGCACCCCACCATGTCGTTGTACGTGGAGAACAAGGTGGTCTGGTCATCAGTTCTCAACGGGTGTTCAATGGTGAGACAAGCGGCGACATCCCATCTCCCGTTTGGCAACCCACAGGAGAACATCACGATGACCCTCCGGACTGTCTCGATGACGAAGGAGATATTGTAATGGATCGCGAGGAGGTCCCGGGGCAGGGTGGCGCGCAGGGTGCTGAGGACGCTGTTTGAGCACCTCTCTCTGTGCTGGTTTTGTTTTGTTCATCTACTTTGCTGCCTCTCTGTGGTTTTCCAGCTCTTCCCTTGTTTTGTTGTTTTAATGAATTGTTTCTTTTGGAATTGCCAAGGGGCCGGAGGCAAACGGTTCCTCCGAGCCTTAAAAAAATTTTCTCCAGGTACACAAGCCGTGCATCCTGGGCCTATTTGAACCAAAAGTGTCGGGCACTAAGGCAGATTCGATCTGCAAGCAGTTGGGCTTCTCTGACTGGGTCCGAGTGGAGGATGTGGGCTTCAGTGGGGGAATATGGGTCTTTTGGAAGGACCCGGTGCATTTAGCAATTCTCTCTACTCACCCCCAGTTCATTTTATTGCAGGTTAGGGGGCGGGATCAACTGACATGGACCCTTGCAGTGGTCTATGGAAGTCCAGCCCACCATCTTCGTCGCAGGCTGTGGCGGGATCTGAGACAGTCAGCTCAGAACTTTACGGGGCCCTGGCTAGTAGCTGGGGATTTTAATTCGGTTCTCTTTCACGAAGAGACACGTAATTATGTTTCCTCGTCTCCTCTCCGAAATTCTGATTTTGTTAATTGGGTGCAGGACGAAGGGCTCATTGACTTGGGGTTCTCGGGACCCAGCCTGACATGGGTTAAGGACGGAGACTCCGGATACACGAAGGGCGCCCGGCTTGATCGGGCGCTTTGCAATACCGAGTGGCGCACAAGTTTTAAAGATGCTCGGGTTTCCCATTTAGCCCGCGTGGAATCGGACCACGCCCCCCTGTTGGTAGAACTGGAAGGTGGGCATCACACGTTACGAGCGGCTCCATTCATGTTCTAGGCAGCGTGGCTTACCCACGCTAATTTCCAAGAGGTTGTTGAGCAGAACTGGAGGCCAGAAGCTGCCATCACGGATAACACCAATGGCCTGGCTTCTATCCTGGCCGATTGGAACAAGGCGACCTTTGGCAACGTCTTTAAACGGAAAAGAGTTCTTTTGTCAAGGATCAGTGGGGTCCAGCGAGCCCTATCCACGAATTACCACTGGGGGCTCATTAAGCTAGAAAGGAAACTAAGAGAGGACCTAGAAGCCGTTCTTCACCAAGAAGAAATTCTGTGGTACCAGCGCTCCAGAGAAGAGTGGATACGCTCCGGGGACAGGAATACGGCTTACTACAATGCGGCCACTGCAGTCCGCAAATCCCAGAGCACATTGTATCTTTAAGGGACGAGAATAACACCTGGCTAACGTGTGATAATGGCCTTCGGGACCATATCCAATCTTTTTACATTAAGCTTTTTTCACAGGAGGATACCGCAGGCCACCGGGATCACCTCGGAACAAGTTTTCCCGCACTCCGGGACATCGACTGGCTGTGTTTCAACAGACCGATATCAAAGGAAGAAGTGCACGCCGCCCTTACGGACATGAAGCCTTTTAAAGCACTGGGACCGGATGGTTTCCAAGCAGGTTTTTACCAAAACATGTGGACCACGACGGGTACTAGTCTGTTCAAGTTAGTGGAGGAGGCGGTCAGATCAGGTTTACTCCCGGAGGGTCTCAACGAAACACTCATTGCCCTTATCTCGAAAGTCGCCGCCCCAGAAACAATCAGGCAGTTCTGGCCCATCAGTTTGTGTAACGTTAGTTACAAGCTCATCACAAAGACTATCACCAACAGGCTCAAGTTCATCCTTCCCAAAATCGTGGGGCCCCACCAAAGCTCCTTTGTCCCGGGGAGGCAGATTACTGACAATGTGTTAATTTTTTAGGAGGTGATGCACTCCATGCGAGAAAAGAAAGGGGATACAGGATACATGGCCATTAAGCTGGATTTGGAAAAAGCCTATGACCGGCTGTCCTGGGACTTCATCCAGGAAACGCTTGACTTAGCCGGCTTCAACATGAGATGGAGAACACTCATGATGACATGTATTCGTACTCCCACTTTGTCTATAATCTGGAATGGCGAGAGGCTACGTCCTTTTAGACCGGAACGGGGAATTAGACAAGGAGATGCCATGTCACCGGCGATCTTTGTCCTTTGTATGGAGCGACTAAGCCAACTAATTGCGGCCGCGGTGAACGATAACAGGTGGAAAGGCGTTAAGCTCGCAGTTTCTGGACCCGTGCTAACCCACCTTTGTTTTGCAGATGATATGGTCTTATTCACGGAAGCCACGCTGGAACAAGTCGAAGTGATCCAGGAATGTTTGGACAGGTTTTGCAAAGCATCCGGCCAACGGATTAGTCTGAGCAAGTCTCAAGTTTTTTTCTCCAAGAACACGAGTCAGGGTTTTAAGGAGGCTATAGCTAGCCGACTCAACATAGAAGCGACGGATAACCTCGGCAAATATCTAGGCGTACCTGCCATCCATGGACGAGTTACACATAACACTTTTGCGGATCTCCTTTCTAGGATCTCTGGCAGGTTAGAGGGATGGAAAGCCAAGACCCTTTCGATGGCCGGGAGGGTTGTTCTGGCCAGGTCAGTGTTAAATGCCATACCCGCGTACACCATGCAAACTGTTGCACTACCTAAAAGCGTATGTGAGGAAATTGAGAAACGAACCCGGGGCTTTATTTGGGGAAGGAATGGCGGGCTAATAAATTGAGCCTAGTAAAGTGGGATTTAGTCACCTCGCCAAAGGAACTAGGGGGCTTGGGACTCAGGCGCCTACATGCGATGAACCAAGCCTTCATGACCAAGCTGGGATGGCGGATGAAAAAGGAACCAGATAGCCTTTGGGCACGAGTTTTAGCCACGAAGTACTATAAGTCGGGGACGAATTGTGCAGGGCCTTCTACCAGGCGCTCGATGTCAAATGCTTGGCGCGGAATAACAGCTGCCCAAGCCCATGTCGAGAAGGGTATCAAGCGGAACGTACATAGCGGCACTACCACCAGATTCTGGATGGACAAATGGTTGGATCGGGAGCCTCTATATGGGTGCATGCAAGTGCCTCTCAGCCTCCCCGAACTGTATGCCAACGTAAGAGATCTTTGGGATGATGTTCGCGGTTGGAAGTGGGAGATCATTGGGCAGGCCCTTCCTACGGCAATGATGGAGAGATTGGCAAGCGTCATCCTAACCGACACAGAGATGGAGGATGGTATAGGCTGGGCATTGGAGGATGATGGCAGGTTCTCGCTTAAATCGGCATATGAAATAATTGCCAGTCACGATCGAGGCAATTTGGAGGCGGACTGGAAGCGACTTTGGAAACTACACGTCCCTGCGAGAATCAGCTTGTTTACCTGGCTGGTGATACATGGGAAAATTCTCACTAACGCAGAGAGGTGTAGGCGAAAATTAACGACTGATGATAAATGTTTTCGATGTGCAGGTTCGGTGGAAAATCTAGACCACATTTTCCGGTGGTGCCCGGCTGCGAGAGAGACTTGGGAAACGTCCATGAGCTGGAGCACAAGGTCAAAACTCAACACCCTCAACTGGGAAGACTGGATTGCGGCGAACCTGAGGGGCGACACGAAATGGGGTTTCAAAGAGGATTGGCCGGAGCGCTTTGCGGTAAGGTTGTGGTGGCTGTGGAGGTGGCGTAACGATGAAGTTTTCAACTCCAAGACGCTGACAGCTGGGCAGAAGCGTGAGTGGCACGCGCAAGTTGACGCGGAGGTCAAAAATGCATTCAGACTCAAGTGGTCGCCGGCACTGGGTGGCACGACGACAACCACCACCCGCATGGGATGGGCACGACCGACCACGGGGTGGCTTAAGCTTAATGTCGATGGCTGTAGTAAAGGAGACAATTGTGCAGGTTGTGGAGGTGTCCTTAGAGACGCGCATGGAGTGTGGCAGTCCGGTTTCACGTACAATATCGGGCGATGTGCAGCGGAGAAGGCGGAGGCTTGGGGAATTTTACAGGGCATCCGAATGGCGAAGGCTCACGGCGCCAACAGGGTAATCGTGGAGTGTGACTCCAAACGGGCAGCGGAGAGGATGAGCGCGGCACTAGATGGTCTGGACATACCTTGCAACGTCCTCCGCCGATGTATACAAGAGGCAGAAAGCCATTTGGAGTTTCAAATCGCACACGTGAACAGGGAACAGAACAAGCTAGCGGATGCTCTCGCGAACATGGCACTTGCCCACCCGGTTGGGCTGCGTCTTCACGATGTGCCACCCATGGAAATACAAGATATTGTTGAACAGGATCGCCTGGGAGCAAATTTCTTGCGAAGGACTTGTCAAAGTGTTTTGGATCGGTTTTGATCCTGTGTTTGTTTTGGGTAGCCCCCTCGTTTATGATCAAAAAAAAAAAAAATCATATAAACTTTTTTTTTTTTTTTTTCGAAAGGACATCATATCTACTTTCATTTACTTTATAGCAATTCATAATGTTCATAAAAACAAAACTTAATATATATATATATATATATATATATATATATATATATATATATATATATATATATAAACATTATACTAAAGTAATGATTATATGTCCCTGTAATTAATTTTTAAAAAATTAAAAATATATCAATATAAATGTTATTTAAAATATCTCAATTAAAATATGCATTAATTTTATTTGCACATAAAGAAAAAGAGAAAAATATATTTTAAGTTAAAAAAAGTAAAAATTAGAAATGTATTTTTTTTGGTGGAAACCACACATTGTGGTCCGGGTCCTTCTCTATCCGTTTAACGGTCCAAGTCCACCCAGTTCACTCCGAGAGGCACAGAAGCTGGCCCAAAGGGAATCGTCACTTATGGGAATCAAACCCGGGTTATCCCGGAATTCTCCCCCACAAAGAGAGCTCATTTGCCACTTGAGCTACCCTGTTGGGTTAAAAAATTAGAAATGTATTAGATGCATATACTTCATGTCAAAAATTTGTGTGAGACTATCTCAAGGATCTTTATTCATGACTCCGTAAGACGGGTCAAGTCAATATGAAATGTAATACTTATAGTCTTATACTAGCAAATGTAATACTAAATCAAGAATAAATTTTTATTACTTATATGAAAAATGTAGGAAAAGGGGT